CTTCAGCAACTCCCTGCAATAGAGCCGTGCCATGGTTTCTATCCGGTATGTGGCACTGTTCCGCGCGCCACAGGGCGAGAACAGCACGCGGGCCGCACTCTCGAAGAGCCAATAGAACAGGCCAAGATAAGAGAACATCTCAATCCACGAAGGTTGAGGCCATATAACCGTGGCATCCGGGAGGCCGACCGTGTCGATCGCCAGCAGGATGTCAATCGGCCCGACGAAAAGGTACAGCCCACTCCCTACGCACACCAGCGCGTACCACACGCGCGAGAACTTGCGATTCCACAGTACGTTGTTGCCAAACATGGCGATGGCCAGGCCGAGCCAGCCGGTCAGCAGCCTGAAAATGGCGGTCAGCAGCGACAGGACGCCGCTGATTCCTCCAGCGGCGAGCCCAGGGGGGGGGGTAGTGAGCGGGGGCAGGCCTCCTCGGAAGGCGGCGGAGCTTCTCGGAGGCCCTCGCGCTTTCTGAACAGCCTGGCGGGTCCTCTCCGAACGGGCGGGCCCTCTCTGGGGCCAGGCGGCTTCTCCGAGGGCGCGAGGGCTCCCCCCAGGCCCAGCCGCACTCCGAGAGGGCCCGCCCCCCTCTCGCTTCCCCCCCCCCCCCTGGGGGCTCGCCCCCGCGTCCTGGAGGCAGGCCCTCCGGGCAGGGCACCTTCTCGGGCCTCTCCACGTCGACGTCGCACCTCGTCGTGTCCATCCGCCCCCCGTGCGCCCTGTGGCGGGACGGCGTGTCGCGGGGTGCTGGCGTCTTCCCGCAGCGGGCCCCCAGGATCCGCCAGGGTCTCGGCTATACGCAAGAGTGACCCTGGGTCCCCGTGTAAGGACCTTTGGTGCACGACCCTCTGGGGGCCGCGGGGGGACCAGACGTGGGCGCGTAAGCAGCTGCTGCTGCTTCGTTTTCAACCACCTGGGGACCCATCTGTGCCCGCACCAAAGGTCACTCCGGCGAAAGGTCGCGCTTACGTCTAGTCGAAGGTCGGCCCCCAGAGACCTCCCGGGGCCCCTGCCGGCCAAGCTGTCGTGCTGCGTCCAGCCGCAGCGGCAAGGACCCCCAGACACTGTCAAGAACCCGCGAGGCGTCGTCGACACAGGCGATCGTGGTCGTCGTCTCCCTGCTTCTGGCTGGATGCCTGTAGCTTGCTGAGCACCACCCCTCTCTTGCTAGCATCCCATCGCGGGCATCTCGCCCTGGACGCCTTCCTCAAGCCCTCAATGGCCCCAGGGCTGGCCAAAACGCTTCCAAGACTGCCCAAAGGTGCATGTAAGACCAAGCAGCGCAAGACCAATTCCAGACGATCCCGTGATGCCCCCAGAACGCACCAGAGGGCCCAGAGATGCCCAAAAAAGGTTCCCCTGAAGGCCACCAGGACGATCCCGGAAGGTCCCCGAGGGGCTGCAGAAAAGCACCCACCAGCTTTTTTGGCAGACGCAGAACAAGAAATCGTGCCATGAGAAATCTTGGGGCACACTCTTTGTCGATCTTTGATGGTCCTGAGGTTCCCCAGCGCGTCTGTGGATTCCGGGGGCCGTCGGGGGCACAAGAAATCATCGTGGGGCACCTGCTGGCAAGGCGATTTCTTGTCTGATTCGTCAACTGTAAGCGCCGCACTGGGAGCCCAAGACGATACTTGTCGTTTTCAGGGCCCCTCAGAGCACTGGGGCATCCATGAATGACCTATCGCGACTGGGGAAGGCGAGCTGGCCAATGTTACGGCCCATACGGGCTTGGGGAAACGCGGTGCCACATGTTCAAGCCCCTCATGTCTTGAGCAAGACAGCTGTCACATTATAACAACGCCCATGAGAAAGAAACCGATCACACGTCGCAACGCCTGGGCGCTGGGAAACAATTTCACAGATTGAGGCTCTCTCCGAGCTGGGGAAGAAAATTGGCACATGTTATGAGCCTCCAGGACTCTAGGACCTGCGGTGATGTTATATACGTTTTCAATCAGGTATACCACTATCACTGACCACGGCCGCCTTTTCGGGCCTATGGAAAGGAACTGACACATGTCAACCTGGAGCCCAGGAATCACCACACAGAGTGCTGCGCTGGCACAGTGGCAGGTCTTGCCGCAGGCACGGGAATGATTCTATAAAGGATGCCGCTGTGTAGCTGGAACACCAAGAAAAATGTGAAAAACAAGGCAGTGACGTCGGGGGTCCGGAGTCGGTCCGAGAACACGTCTCCTGCCACCCACGCCCAAGATAATGGTGACAGCCAACAGCGCCGACAGCGCGACGAAGGCGTCCAAGAGAGCGAGTCTGCCTGACCTGCTGGCCAAGAGAAACCGATTGTCAGGCTCGTCTCCTTGTGCGAGAGCATCAGCTGCCAGTCCGACCATGCTCTCCTGCCCTTCTCGATCTCCTTCTTTGGCACAAGGGATAAGAGTTCGATCAAAAGCGTCTTGTCAGACGTAATATCTTTCAAGCCCATCCTCTGGAGGAGCTGCCTAAAAACCTGCACATCCATATGGATGCTTGGCAGGAGTGTCAGCACCGGAAATAACACCACCATTCGCATCGAATCTACGAGCAGCGAGGTCAAGCACGACCAGATGCGATGGAGCCACGTGTCACGAAGCAGCGCAACCAGGCATGAATCGCTGGCCGATGCAGGGTTCACCTCTGTCTGTGCATCTTGCTGCTCTGCATCCTGCTGCTGCATGCTGAGCCAGAGGACGGGATCGCGCAGCGGCCTCGCCGCGTCGGCGTAGCGGAACATCGCGATGCAGCAGATGAGCTGCGCCGCAAAGCCGTTCAGGTACTCCGCGGTCGTGACGTCGACCACGTAAAGGGCACCGAAGAGCCTGAACGTGCGCAGACCGATGAAGGCAATGAACACTGGATTCCTCGCCGCGGCGAACACCGGGAACAGCGGCGTGCGCCGCCTGCAGCTGCAAAAACACCAGGACCAGAAGCAGGAGCTCGAGCGCTCGCTCGCCTCCGTTGACGAAGATTCTGGAAGCGGCGGCGTGCCCACTTCGACGCGGGCCCCCACGAGCTCAGTGCTTTTGGGCTTTCTGCCCGGAGGCGTGAGGTAGGCCAGCATGTCGCGCTCCCTCCTGCGCGCGAGAAGGGCCAGAACCAGACCAAATAGGAAGCCCGCGATATCCCCCAGGGTCCAAAAGAAGTACGACCAATCCTTGTCCTCGTAGTTCGCAAACCTAACCGAGGGACCTTCGGACTCCTCCTGGTCCACGGGAGGCAGACTCGCGAGGAACCACAGATTCCAGAGGGGATACCCCACGGTGAAGAAGACGCCCGCGGACCAGGACAGCACAACTTCCATCCAAGTGCTCCTCATTTGCCAGGGCCAGGCCCCCAAAGGCAGCGGCGCAGGGGGAGCGAGTTCTCATAACCACCCTCAGGGCTCTAAGAACCCCTGAGGGGAGGAGGCCGAAATATTCATCAGAGCTCCAAGAGCCCTCTAAGAACCTGCACGGTTTCCCCCGGGGCCGTAGGCGACCCGAGGAGGAGGAGGAGGAGGAGGAGAAGGAGGAGGAGGAGGAGGAGGAGGAGGAGGAGGAGGAGGGGGAGGAGGGGGTGGAGAAGGAGGAGGAGGAGGAGGAGGAGGAGGAGGAGGAGGAGGACGGGTCGCCTACGCCCTTCGGAGAAACCCTCCATAAGAACCCATTTCCCCTGTTGTGGTCTCTTTGGGGGTGCCCTGGCTGACCTCACGCGCTTCTCCCAAAGCGGGTTGAACGCCTGCCGCAAGCGGGGCTCCACCAGCAGCAGACTGAGCACGGTGATGCCCGTCAGGTAGGCCTCGAGGCTACTCGCGAACCTGAACGACCACTCCTCGACGGCCCAGAGAGGGGCACCGACAACATTACGGGCACCAAGTGCGTATGGCTTCGGCGGCCGTTCAAGGGTCCATTTTCCAAAACACCTACGCCAGACATGCACCGACCCGATTTGTTTCTCAATGCGCTGCCCACGAAAACCCGACCTCTGCTAAGGGAGGAACTGTTACAGTTTCGTCTGGGCCCCTTTTTTGATGGTCCGGGGGCCCGACAAAGGGCTCCAGAGGCCGACATCAAGGCAAAGCAGCAAGATTGAAACAGAACGCGTCGTCGGAGATCTGGGGAGGTCGATGTTCTAGGGCGCCCACCACAAAACCCACACGCACTTTGTACCCCTGCGGTGCTGGTGTGCCCCTTCTGCTGGCCGCTGGCCGGAATCGTGGGAAACCTGGCTCCAGCCAGCATCGGCACCGCACCAAAGACCAGATACTTGTCGTCGACGCCGCACCTAGAGGACGAGCAAACAACGTAAACATAAACTTTGGACGGTCCGCGCGGATTGCTTGGATCTGTGCTCGACCCCGCCCCCGGACGCGCAGAGCGCGCCAGGGGCGGCGCCAAAGGCGCCGTCAAGGGGGTCCAACGCAGATACAAGAAACCCGCGTGGAGCTCCGAAAGTTTAGGCTCATTCAAATGTTTCCTTCTTCGAGCACCCTCCCTGGCTCAGAGGCCTCAGCGTCTGGAAGCCGCCGGACAGGCCGCAGCCGAGGAGCAAGAAGACGGTCTGCGAGCGGAGCAGCGCGCTCATCGGCATAGCCCTGCGAGCCTGCAGGTTCCAGCGGAAGGTGAGGATCGCCGCGATGCCCCCGAGCAGAGTGGGCGCGCAGACCACGTACCAGTGCATGTGCCGCAAGTTGCTGCAGAAATGCGCATAGTTGGACACCATCCGCCACAGTGCCGCTGGGCACGGAGTGGGCGTGTCCTCAAGACCTTTGCCCAATCCCCTGAGCCTCATTGAGGGGCCTGAGCCCCAAATTCCGACACTTCTTGGAGCTTCCTGCGTGCCCCTTGGGACCCGTCGCGGCTTCCCGCGTGATTTTTTCGGGCCCAAGACGGCCCCAACCAAGAGGGCTCCAGGAGGCCCCGAAGACGGTCCGAGAGGGCCCCGAGTTGCCGAACGATCGCCCCCAGACGCTCAAAATGGCCCCCAGACGGCGGATGGGCCGAAGGCCATGAGATACTCGATGATCACCCAGCACAATGCGCGCTCGCTCAAAAGTCCACGCGCTGCGTCCAAGGAACGCCGGGCACTGCTGGGGCAACGCGTACGGATCCCCGAGCAGTCCCGCGTGCCGTTCTTGGAGGCTCCAGCAGGCGCCTCGGCAGTGGCGGGTTCATCCCGATGCTTGGGCCAGGGTGCACGGAGAAATGATCCCGACAATACTCACGGGACGCGCAAGGACATCATGGTACCGCGTGTCCTCCTCGGAGGCGTGCGTCCGATCCGAGCATATAGCACAGCCACCTTATAATACATCATTTCCTCCGCGGTACGGCCAGAAAGCGCCCGCCACGGAGCATATACTATAAGATTTCTCGGCGCGCGCGTCGCCCAATTTTGGGCGGCGCGTGCATCGTATGTTTGGGTGGCGCCGATCATCGCTCTGATCGTAAAAGAGAAATGAACTCCGACCAATCCGCCGCTGGCCACTCTGGGGGCGTAAAGCTGCGAACCGTGATGCTGATGCTTGACCGCTGTCTCGCCTTCGTTATCTGTCTGTTACCTCACGCCTCTCCAGCTCAGTGCCCAGGACGCCAAGGTGCGGCCGAGATCGCCCAGGATGGCCCAACACGGCCCCATCATGGTCCCAGGATGCCCCCAAGATGGGACCCAAATGTCCCAATATAGATCCAAGATTGCCAAATGTGTCGCAAAGGTGGCCCGAGAGGCCCCACGGTGCTTCCAAAAGCCCCAAAGACGGACCGTGAAATCCCCCAAACTGCACCAATATAGCCACAAGACGGCTCAGCCTGGGTGGCTGGCGGCAGAGAGCGCACCCCTTCAGATATTCGCTTGGGTCACCATAGCGCCTCCTGGAACTGCTTACCTGAACGGCTCTTCTTGACGGCCGATGGTTTCTCCGTCTAGCCGTACAACTACTCCTGTGGGTTCCTGTGGCAATCCCAATGGATGGTTCCATAACTGTCCGTAATGTTTTCTCGGTTGAGTTCTGTTGGCGTTCCGATTGTTATCCTGGTTCCGTCCCACATGAACTCGTCTCGCATGTTTGGTCTTCGTTCTTGGATCTCTGATCCTGTGTAAACTCATGTTGGCATATGTCTGGTTACTCCTAGGGCAATCTTCCTGTGCCCCCCGTTGACTTCTGAGGCGGCGGAATCTGATGTCGTTCGTTTCGTTCCGACTCGGGCCGGCCCTACACGTCGTTCATTTCTAATCGTGCTCATTTCTAATTGTGCTCGTTTCTAATTGTTTCTGGCCCCCTAGTGGCCAGGAAGAGGCCCAGGATAGAACAATTAGAAATGAAAGGATTTTGCCCCCCCAAATTCAAAGAACTTTCGAATAATTAGAAACGAACCATGTGTAGCGATCCCCAGCGAGGGCACGCCTACGGCCGATCCGCGCTCAACTCTGGAAGTGCAGCGGCGGTGGGAAGGGAAGGCAGGGGGCGGCAGCAGCAGTGGCGGGCGGCACGCGCAGAGAGGCGGAGGACGGGGGGAGAACGAGAGACGTGCAGACAGAGTCCGCCGGCCCGACCGTGGGGCCATCAGGCTGCGCGGATGAGGCTTCTTGTAGCGATGTTCGTTTCGTTTCGCGTGGCGGACAGAGCTTCATGAAACTACCCGTGGAGCTATAGGCGTGTGATACGTGCTGCCCAGAGACAGCGTTCCGCATGACCAGCGATGAACAATAGGCAACAATACGACGCGCGCGGCATGGAGGAGGAAGGGGGAGGAGGAGGGTGAAGCTTGAGTCCAAATGGTCGCGGAAGGCATTGCCTCCTGCTGTCGCTTGCTGCTGTTCGCGCAAGGGGGTGGGGGGGGAACCGAACACGACAGCCGTTCGCCTTCCCCCCCTGGGGTTCTCGAGATGCCACTGGGGAGTCCAGGGAAGCGACTCGCGCCCCCGAGGCTGCAGCCCCCCGCATTCGCGCCCCCGACGGGTCAGAGCCAACGCTGTGAATCACGCAGGAGTCGCGCCCCCGAAGCCAGAGAGCCCCCTTGCAGGGCACGACCAAGCTCGCGCTCCCGAGGCTGGAATCCCACACGCAAAACTGCAGCAGCTTTTCGCGCTCACGGAGGCCAGAGTCCATCGCACATGCTGCGTGACTCGCGCTCCCGAAGCCGTCATCCACTGTAAGCAGTTGCACCACAAGTTGCGATCCCCAGGCCAGAGTCTTTTCTGCAAACTACTCCAGGCTCGCGCTCCCGAGCCCCGAATCGCTTACATATCAATCACATCATATCCGCGGCTCCGAAACCAAATCCTCTGGCAAATTGCACCAGGTTCGCGTCCCAGGCGGCCACGACCCTCTGACTTACGAGATGATTCGCGCTCCCGAGGCCCGAGTCCCTCGCGACCGCGAGCCCTCTAAACTAGCGAAGGATGCCATGATCCCAAAGACAATCCTGGCCGGGAGATGTGGCCCAAGATTAGAGGGCAGAAAAATCCAGCTACATAATGACCACCCCGACAAGCGAAGCCATTTAGTAGACGCGCCCAAAGAAGGAATCGAACAGGGTGGGGCTGTTCAGAAACGCCCAGGGCCGCTTCGTAAACGCCAATTCTCGGGTCTGGGTGTTTTTTCCCGGAAAGGGCTTCAGGCCCAGGGTTCTCTTTTAGAGGTTTCCCCCCGGTTTTGACGGGAAGAGGGTCGGCGGATTTCTTTTGCGATAAATAACGAATGGGAAGAGGGCCGGCGAACGAATTAAAATTTCAGGATGTCCCTAGCGAAACGCTTGTTTTTCAGAATTTGTTGAGGATATCTCGAGCGAAACGCTTGTTTTGTGCTGTAGATTGTCCTCTCCTGGGGACCAGAATTTAGAGGATCTCTCAAGTGAAATGCTTGGTTTCACGTGCCCAGGTCTTGAGGATGTCTCGAGCGAGACGCTGGGTTTCACGCCTCCAGATTGCCCAGGCAGAGGTCAAGCGCCAGGATTTGTTGAGGATGTCTCGAGCGAGACGCTTGGTTTCACGCGTCCTCGTCGCCCAGGCGGATGTCTAGAATGAGGAGGTGTTGAGGAAGTCTCGATCGAGATGCTTGTTTGCACGTGTCCAGGTTGCCCAGGCGGATGCCTAGCATGAGGATGTGTTGAGAATCTCTCGAGAGATACGCTTGTTTCACGTGTCCAGGTCGCCCAGGCGCATGTCTAACATGAAGATGTGTTGAGGATTTCTCGAGCGAGACGTTTGCTTTCACGTGTACAGGTCGCCAAGGCGGATGTCTAGAATGAGGAGGTGTTGAAAACGTCTCGAGCGAAACGCTTGTTTTCACTTGCCCAGGTCACCCAGGCGGACGTCTCACATGAAGATGTGTTGAGGTTGTCTCGAGCGAACTACTTGTTTTCACGTCCAGTTCGCCCAGGCGGATGTCTAGCATGAGAATGTGTTGAGGATGTGTTGAGCGAAACGTTTGTTTTCACGTGTCCAGGTCGCTCAAGCGGACGTCTAGAATGAGGATTTTGACAGGATGTCTCGAGCGAAACGCTTGTCCCCAGCACGTTCCGTAGCGCGTCCCCTTGGCACGTCCCGCGGTGCGTCCCCATGGCACGTCCCCTGGCATGTCGCCTGGCGCGTCCCTTGAGACGTTCCGCGGCGCGTCCACCTGGCATGTCCCCCTGTCAATTAGCTCTGCGGCAGATACTATGTGTTCAGGCAGCTCGAGCTTAAGATCCAGAGCAGTTCGGTCAGGACTCGGATGCAAAGGAGGACTCGATCCACGACGCTATAGAGCACAACCGCGGCATGGGACATCGCAATTCAGCACGGTGCAGCACAGCACAGACTTCGGCACGGTACATCAAAATCGACACAAACAGCATTGCAACCTGGCACGTTCCTTGGCACGTTCCGTGGGGCGTCCCTTGGCGAATCCCCCTGGCACGTCGCGTGGCGCGTCCCCTGGCACATTCCGTGGCACATCCATTGGCACGTTCCGTAGCGCGTCCCTTTGGCACGTCCTACGGTGCGACCCCGTGGCACGTCCCCTGGCACGTCGCCTGGCGCGTCCCTGGGGACGTTTCGCGGCGCGTCCTCGTGGCATGTCCCCCTTTCAAGAGCACAACCGCGGCATGGGACATCGCAATTCAGCACGGTATAGCACAGCACAGCCCTCGGCACGGTACATCAAGATCGATACAATCAGCATTGCACTTGCCCGTCACCCAATCAAGTGTCTTTGAAAACGTTGCCATGCGTTACATTTCTATATTCCTTTCCGGGTTCGTGGGTCGATCATGTTTCCTCCCTTGAAGAAAAATGGCCTCAAGCAGCCCCCAGTCGTAGCGAGGGGGCTGCTAAGGCATACAGGCGGACTTGATTGGACAGGACACCCAAGAGGACGCAAGACACTTCCGACGGTAACTTGGCCCCAGGACACCAAGGGTCATGCGGGTTGCAAAGGTTGGGATCGAAAGGCACAAGGGTACCCTCGACTTGGCATCGTCGACCAAACAATCAGGGCCGAGAGTAGCATGAGGGGAACACTCCAAAAATGAGGCAGAGGGCGAAGCCCTTATGAATAGAGCAAGAAAGGTAGAGAGAGAGAGAGAGACAAAACAAAAGGAGAGAGATAGTGTGTGTGTGTGTGAGAGAGAAAGAGAAAGAGAAAGAGAGAGAGAGAGAGAGAGAAAAAGAGAGAGAGAGAGAGAGAGAGAGAGAAAAAAACAACCAAACGAATAGATAGAGGGAGGGAGAGGGAGAGAGAT